TGATTGAGAAATTACTAGAAGCAATAGAAGAGTGTTATAAGGTACCAAATACATAAAAAGTAATAGCTTTCCTAATCACTAAAAATAACAAAATATAAAAGCTTTTATTTTAAATGCTATATAGTAGCAACAAAAATATAAAATACAAAAATAAAATTAACGCAAATTGTACAAAACTTTTATGCATAAAACTGTAAAATTTTACTGAGCAACACAAAAGAATAAATAAAGAGAAAAAAACATGTTCTTGCGAGGAAAGACTCATTATTTTAATTAATTATCAATCCTATTCAAATTAATCTGTAAATGCAGTATAGTCCTTTAGTTGATAATGAAGATGTTATTCAAATTCAGTAAATAGTGTTGGATCAATCAGGTAACTATCTGGAAAATATAAGAAGTAATACTTGTATACTTGGCACAATTACTCCATACCATAAATAGTTAGCTTGGGCAAGATTCTGTTTACTTAACTGAAAAATAAGACTGGATAAAATTATTTTTAAGGATCTTTATAAATTCCATGAATCTATTATTATCAATTCTACAATGTTAATTTCTAACTATTTTATCCCAAAATGTTGCCTCTTATCTCTGAACACTTACAGAAACAAACTAATTCTGTCGCTTAATGTGTCTTTTCTTTTTTGCTAAAAGTATGCTTCCTGTACCTTATAACCAAATTATCTTCTCAGGGACAGAAACTAGTCAGTGCTGAGCATATTCAAATAATATTTGCAGGGCTGGTCGGTTAGCTCAGTTGGTTAGAGCACAGTGTTGGTAATACCAAGGTCAAGGATTTGGATCACTGTACCGGCCAGCCACCAAAATAATAATAGTAATAACAATAATAGTAGTAATTGCAAAAACAAAAAGAAGACGTAAATGAGGGGGAGGGGAGTTAAGGAGAAAGAAAAGAAAAATGATGAACTGCTTATTGAGAAAAAAATAGATTTATGAAATCAGCAAAAATATTTCTGGACCTGGAAGAGTTAACAACACTGAATTATTCTGTGCACATAAATAACTCTATGATTCTATCTTTTCCATAGGCTATTCACACAGGAAATAAGATGCCCAAACACTATTGCTCTCTTAGAATGCACTACAGTATTTCATGGTCTTTTGTTTAGACATCATTAGCTCACACACTGTCATCTTTTAAAAACATCTCTCCTGACTCAATATTCCCCTCCAGCACCATTTTTCTGTTCCTCTTGTCAACAAAATGGGTGACCCGCATTTCACAGAGTTCACCAAAGACCTAACTATTGCCAAACTAATGGTCACTTCTTCCTTGAATTTCTCATTGCTACCTTTCTTCCTTCCTGAAACCTTTTCTTTTTTTTTGGTTTCTATGACATCTCTGTCTCCATAGTTTCTTGCTCTTCATTAGTTGCTTTCCCCAATTGCCTTTGCTGGTTCTTTCTCATCTGCAGATCTCTAACTATAAGAGGTCCTCATTGCACTGCCCAGAGTCAAGCCTTTCCTCTCCATCTCTCCCCATCCCTTCCCTGGTCTCCTCTCTTCTCTAGCTATACTTCTATACTTAACTTCACTCAAACCCATTATTTAAAAGCCGTCTACACTGATTACCCATAAAAGAGAATTCTTGATCTTCACCCAAACCAAAATCTACTCCTTCCCTGGTCTTATCCATCTTAGTAAATACACCAAAATCAACTCAGTTGCTTGACCTAAAAACCTAACAAATAAATATTCCTCCCAATCAACAAATCAGCACAATCTATTGTTTCTACCACCGAACTATAACTTTAGTTTATCCACTTCTTTTTTTGACTGCAGCCAATATTATCTTTTTCCCGAACTCCTACAATTGTCTTCTAATTGGATTCTTTGCTTTCACCCTAATCTCCCTATATTCTGTTCTCCACACAGTAGCTAAAGTGATCTTTTAAAAATGGAAATTAATGGGCCGGCCTGGTGGCGCACTGCTACAGTGCGCCGCTTGGGAGCACGGGCGCTCCCGCCAAGGGTTCGGATCCCACATACAGACCGGCCGCTCACTGGCTGAGCGAGGTGCGGGCGCAACACCGAGGGTTGCAATCCTGTTGCCAGTCCCGGTCCGGTACGGGCGCGACACTGAGGGTTGTGATCTGTTGCTGGTCACAAAAAAAGACAAAAAGGAAAAAAAAAAATGGAAATTAAATCATATCTTTCACCAGCTTAAAAACCCTCCAGAGACTTTCAATTTAGCTCATATTTATATAAACACAGAAACATAAAAAGAAAATAAAGAAGAAATATAAAGCTTACATAAATGGAGGAATAGGATTAAATCATATAAAATGAATTTTTTTAAGTAAAGACTTTTTTTTTCCATTTTTGCTTGCCATTTCTCACTTCTCCCTCTCCCTCTACAAATTTCCTTGGACTCCACCTCCAAATAACTCATATTAACAGTACAGTATTTTCCTTATTTTCCTCCTTGCTCATATTAGCAGGACAGAAAAACAAAAGACATAGAGATACTTGCCAATATTTTACCAAAATGGGTTCATTATACACAGTTTTATAAAACTTGTTTCTTTTTCTCAGCAATTCCTCACAGAAATTCCTCCAAGTCAATGTAAAGGTCTAATGTATTCTTTTCAACAGCCCCAAAATATTTTTTAGTATGATGTCATGTGTTTTCAGTCCTTCCCCTCTTTATAAGCCTTTACTTTGTTTTCAGTGTTGACTAATATAAACAACAATGAAAAAAAAATCTTCTACCTACATTCTTATATTTATTAACATTGGGTAAGTTTCTAGACTAAGATTTCTAAATCAAATCAGAATTTTAATTTTAATAAATATTTCCAGATTGCTTTCCAAAAGGTTGAATTAACTCACATTTCCACCAAGTAGTGTATCTGAGTACCCTTCCTTTACCCCTTCCAACAAGTGCTTACCACACTTTTTACTTTGTGCTAGTTTGATAAGTGTATATCATTATTACTTTAATTTGAGATAATTTTTGAGATATTTATTCCTTTTAGTTTTCCAGGTCACAAATTTGGATCTCAAGAATGACAATCATCTTTTAAAATTGACCTGCTAAATTTTTAAACTTGGAAAATATGTTTTTCAGTACCACATAGTTTGGGGGGGGGGGTTGTTTGTTTCTTTTCTCTGTATCTGAATATTCTTATGTGTGCTGTTTTGGCCACTGTTGTTCAGGTTGCTCTCTGTTTCTTTCACCAGTTGTGTTTTGATGACCACTTTATCTGTTTTATTTTCTCTTTGCCTGCAAGTCTCCCTTATTTGCATCATCATTTTTCTTTGTTGGCTTTTTGGGGCCACTGTCTCAGTATTGGAGTCCCACAGTATGGAAGGTGATATGTTCTTAATTCACATAGGCTGAAGGTCTGGGAGCAGGCATTTTGCCTCTCCACACCAAAGCCACAGGAGGAAGTCTTCTGGCTCCCCAAATTTTCTGCCCACTGCATGAGCCTAATCTCAGAAGCAAGGATTCTTCAGCACCCCTCACTTTTTGCAATTCCTTATTGGCCTCTATTAGGCCATGAACCGCACTCGTTTGAAACAGTGTCAACTTTTTCCCTGTGTGTCTTCAAACCTCCACTGGTAAGGCTCTTCCCAGGTCCTGTTGTGATTCTTTGCACAGGTTCTCTAGGTTTCTGCCTGACTCATGGAAAGTTCCTCATTACCTCCCTGCTTCCTCGACTCCCATAAATTCCAGTTTCACATGGCCCCAGGAAAGGCAGATATACTTGAATCTGGAATGTAAGAAAAATACGGTGTAGTTTAGTCACCATCTTTTCAGGATCCCACCATTCAATGTATTTAGAAATAACATCCAAATTCTTTACCATGGCCAAGAGGGCCCTCGTTCCTACCTACCCGGGCAGTTTCAACTTATACACTGTCTCCCTTGCTCACTTTACTTGAGTCACAAAACTTTGCCTTTATCCCTCAAATATGCCTATCTTATCTTTACTTAGGACCCTCACACCTGCTGTTCCCTCCATCTAGAATACTCTTCTCCCCTAGATTGTTGAGTTTTCATCTTTCAGGTCTTACTCAAATTCACCTCTTCAAAGAGGGAGTATTTGATCATTCAAATGCTGTCCCCTGAGTCACTCCATCTCATTATTTTACATTCTTTATATTACTTAACACTATCTCAAATTATCATATTTATATATTTATTTCTTTGTTTATTGTATATGTCCTCCATTATTTAAGTCATCATGTATGACTATCTATCTTGTTCATAGTTTTATTTTAACAGATACTTATTGAATAAATGCACATATTCCAATTGCTTTGGAGCAGGAGAAAAAATATAAATTAAGTCTCTTTCAATTCCAACAATAGGTTGCTGTTTATGAGTCACTGTCTTTGCCAAAGTGAAAGCCACAAGTGGTGCAATTTGTTGTCTGGTGATGTGTGAAGGTCCTACTGTAGGAATTCATCGTCAGGTTGGGGAGGCAATTGAGAAAGTGAAACTTACATAAAATTTCTCTGAAAGATTTCTACCATATCCCACTTTGAGCCTAACAGTAGCGTGTAATTTAAAAAGTAGGAAAAGTAATGACAGTCTAGGCATTAACAGTGTCTCCCATAGTACAAAAAAAATTTAGAAATATCTATCCCTTCTGGAGACATTTCTGTTAAGTTTTATAGCATTGATATTCAATAAAAGGCTGCACATGGAAGGCAAACACTGCCAGTTGGTCCTTTGAATTTGTCTCTTCAAAATGAATATTGTGCCCTATTATGCTATTCCTAATGACCTGGGAAAATTGGGACAATGTGAATTTGACAATATCAAGGAATTATTTAATTTCTGGGATGTGGAGAGGAGTAAACTGAAACATGTTTGCTCTGTATTGCTAACTGGTCAAGTGGAATGATGGGTACATGGAGAGTTATACTATTCTATTTGTTTTTGTGTATATTTAAAGATTTCCAAAATGAAAACTTTAAAATAAAATTAGAAAACATAAGTCATTATCTATTTCACTTTCTAACAGATAAATGAAACATTTCACGGATCCAGACTGAGAAGACAGTATGTCAAATCTCATGTTGTCCAAGTAAGGTATGTGCAATAGCCTGAGAGGCACAGAAAATAAACTTTTGTCCTTCACCTCCACATCTCATATTCAACAGAATGTTTTTTGCTTGGCATACAATTGAAGGGTTGAAATAAATTTGAATTTGGGGTTTTAAAACCCTGAGACTTCAAATGTGAAAGAAAGAATTTAAGGTCTGTTAGAAATTTACTAAACCAGAACCAGGAATTCCAGCTGATTGTAAACATCAGATGAAGATTAAATGGATTTGCTTATAATCTGAGGAAACAAAGTCCAAAAGTAAATCTAAAATCAGGAAATAATTTAAAATTTAAAAAAAGAATGGATAAGATTTTAAAAAGCTGTGTACACAATGTCTGATCCAGGGCTGGCAAGCCAGTTTATCAAAACACCAAATCTTGCTTGGAGTTGTATTTTTCGCTTGTACACAAATTTTACAAAAATTGTATTAAAAGTTGGGGAACTTTACATAAAAAACAGAATTTTCAGACTCTGTTGTATATCAAAATATCTAACAACACTGGGCCCACATTTCCAAATAGTAACAATAGGCAGAAGCTGAGCTGCGCTGTTTGCAGCAGTATGCATATGTTTTTACACCCAACCAACTTCACTCCTCTCATTTACCTTTCTGGTCCCTACAGAAATTAGAATTCACAGCTATTGTCTAACAGACAAAATTTTTATCCAAACATTTCTAAGGAGCAGAGAACCTGAAAGTGATGTAGCAGTAGTAGAAAGAAGTCCAAGTGGGCACGCAGTCTACATCAGAAAAGTATATGTACACTCACATGTTTATTTTAAAAGGTGTGTTTGAGGGAACTCAGCCTCTGGGAGAAGGGTGTTCATTGAAAGAAAAGAAAAATTAATTAGTAATGGAGGCACAAGGCTTTTTTCTTAATCCCTAAGAGACAGATACCAAACACAGTTAGCATTAAATATTTAATAACTGTTTGACACCTATTTTGTGTCTTCATTGTGCTAGGTCATGAAAACCTAACAGGAAATACTACTCAGACTCTTCCTTTAATAAACGTTCAAAAGAATAAATGAAATTCCATTTTTAAAGTATGTTTTAATTTCTCATCATGTGCAAGGAACTGTTCTAGGCTCTGCTGGGCGTTGCAGAGTCTTAATATGAATAAAATACTATTTCCATTCTCGTGAATTATTGAGAAATCTGCTAGATGAGGAAATTGGTTACTGGTGCCTATAGCTAACATATCCAGGAATAAGAATTATAAAGCAGATATCCTGTATACTGGAGATCTATAGTTTCTAAAGCATAGTAGAACACAGCTACCCAGGTACTAACCAAGCAAACTAATACAAAATTCTTACCCCATCAGATGAGTGTTAAAGTCTGGATGGTAGTGAAGCTGTGAGCCGGCTTAGGAGCACGCACTTGGGGGAAATTAGGCAGGACAATTATTAGCTCTGCCTAGGCAGCAAGATTCCCTCAAGTAGGTTTGTTTGGTTTTTTTAAAAATAAGTTTGATGAAATAGCCTATCACTCCCTTTTGAGCATGTTGTCCATTGCCCTGTTGTCCCTAGCTGTATATCATCAGCATCATAAAATGTTATGGGCTAAGTTCCATGCTATACTGGAGCTAAAGAATTAAGCCTCCTAGTAGAAAAAATGAGTGCCCTATCACCCTGCAAAAGCCAAAACCAGGATAAGATAAACACAGTAGCATAAAACTAAATATCACACCTCAAATGATTCTTTAGTTTTGTCAGTTCTCCTTAAGAGGAAGGGGGAGAGAAAATTTCCCTAGAAAGAAGAGATAGCATTCACAGTGGACTGATAAACCATTCATGCAGTGGAAGCCATTCTTGAAATGCAATAATTCTGTATCTCTGTGGAGAAAAATATTGCATGAATTTGAACAAAAAGTTTCTTTTTTTTTTTTCATTAAATTTTTATTTTGTCAATATACAATGTATATGATTATTATGGCCCATCACCGACACCTCCCTCCCGCCTCCCTCTCTCCCCTCCCCCCCAAGAATGTCCTTTCCGTTTGCTTGTTGTAACAACTTCAAAAAAGTATAGTTGTTATATCTTCTTCCCCCCCCCCCCCCCCCCGCCTCCGTGTCTTGTTTTGTTTTTTTGTGTGGGTTTTTTTTTTTTTTTTTTTTTTTTTTT